GGAGAAATACATCTTCGTCCCCGTGGCGGTGGAGACATCTGGAGTGTGGGGGGCGGAGGGACTCAAATTCATCAAGGAAGTAGGGAGGAAAATTCAAGATACCACTGGACAACCAATGTCTACCACTTACTTAATTCAACGGATAAGCATGGCAGTACAACGGGGAAATGCAGCATCAATCATGGGAACCATTCCCGATTCAAAAGGATTAGAAGAATTGTTTCATGTTTTGCAAGAAGTGTCTAATAATAAGGGGCCGAATGGTGATGTGGATCGTCAATTGTCCACATCAAGCAGTGGTTTTCCCATCTCACCATCTTTGGGTTTTCCCTCTGCTCTCCTAGCCAACTAATTGTTTTTATGTATATGTATTTTAATTTGTTTGAATAAATTCTTATCGTTTATTTATGTAGTCAAACACCAATACTAAATACAAGACCAAACACACTCATGCAAACAAATATATACACACTTTCACCCAAATTTTGCAATAAGTTGAGACTCGTTCCTTATAGTTTATTGTGGTGGAGGTGGTGGTGGGGTGTGGATAACAATATGGGTGGTATGGATGAGAAGAGCATAGGTCGTGGTGGTGGTGGAGGTGGCGTTGTGAAGAACAGACTCTAGATAATTACAAACATATTCTCTTTTAATGCATACCCTCATATCACACATAATAATTTACCAATCAATTACTATCATAGTACCTTTGTGCATGCATCCTCAATCGAGAAAGAAACGTCTCCAATTTCGGACAACCAATTCGCGAAGAAACTATCCGGTTCAAGAATGATTTCCATACACTCTGGACACGAACATCTCATCCGCCAATCACACCAAATAAATTTACCATCATCGTCCTTTGGTGGGGCAGGAATTTGGGGTTTACAACAGCCTCGACAACAAATGCGATGATGGAATGACATATATTTAAATTCAGCAAATATAAAATCTTTACTCTCAAACTGGATGGTTGGATTCTTTCTCTATAAAAAAGAGGAAAAATTCTGTTCGTACAAGAATAATATTGAGAATAAGTAATAATTCTTAAACGTACCTTCCAGAGACATATTTTACACTCGCACTCACTTGTCCTTTTACAACTAATAATTAATTTATACCTAAGTAACCATATGTGTTTATTAAAGTAAACATCACTCGGTCTAAGAGGATAGGGTAGACAGCCCATGACACAATTTTTTTGGGGGAACATTCCCTGGTCACTCACACATTGATGACATAGCATTACATCCAGCAATGCTTCGAAATTTTTGTTCATGGTTTTATTTATTTATTTAATCGTTTAATTTGACTCCTAGGAATCCAAAATTTCGGAAAGTCTGTAAGAGTAGGCCCTGAATTCTTTCGTTTCTCCAAATCTAGTACAGGTTCGCCGTATGGACGACGAAGCTCAACCACATCAAATTGGGTTGGAATATAAAGCTTGATTCTACCTACCGGGTCACCTTTCTTAATTCTAGCTAATTTGTTTGGAGAAGTATTGACCAATTTCACTTTGTATGCTCCTTTGGGTAGCTGTATCCAACTATCCTCCTGTACTAACTTAATTTCGAAAAATTTGTGCCAATTGGGACAAGGCTCTAGTTCTCCAAAGTATGGTGGTGGAATACCAATTGTTATTCCAACGTCCACCTCGTAACTCGCGCGTGTTTGCGATACTTTCCCTGGGAATAGTACTGCGTTCTCATTAGCAAAGAGCTCGATGTAAAAACACTCTTTCTTATAGTATATACTATATTTAGCTGTTTGAGAATTCTTGAAGATTTGAAGTTGAAAAGTTGGGAGAACAATCGCGTCCGATGCCATGGCTAGCAAGTTTAGTACAGAACTGAATAATAATAACTAGCGCAAGAGTTGTTGCTGGTGGTGGTGGTCATGTTTGACTAAAGTTGCGTTGCTGTGAAAACAAATATGCATACAGACAAAGTTCATAGCGTCACGCTTCCTATTCTCCCCTAGTTCATCATTTCCCAGCGTTCCGTGTCCCCCCCCCTCCACACTAAACACTTATAACAACCTCGACCGTCACCAAACACTTTCAATCTGCTTTTTCGTGTTCAACTGATCACACTTTCACTTCTCAACTCTCACCAACCACTCTCACAAACAACAAACTTCATCCACGATACACACACTTGTGTTATCAACCAACAACAACATGCCACCCAAGAAAAACTCCAACCGAACTGTCGCCAAGACTGTCCCAACATCTGTCGCGAAGTTCTTTGACACCGAGGCGGTCGAGGATCGTCCTACACGTCGCAACAAGCGAACGGTCCCACCAACACCGGTCAACTCTGACCAAGAAACCCGAAAGAAAGCGACTAGTGCCCGTTCTACAACTCCCAGGGTGATGAAGAAGAAACAACGAGTGAACCCGTTTGTTGACCCTATCGCCCAACTAACGGTCAACCCACCGGTAGGCTTCGAGAAGGTGGAACGTCAAGTTCGAAATGTGGGGTCGACCGAACCTTACAACGAGAAGGATGTAAAAACATGGATCATGAGCAACGAGGTAAAATTTTTAAAATCAAATTAAAGTAACGTTGTGAAATCTGACTAACACATTGAGAGATATAAAAATGCTTTCACTTTTTATATTATTACTATTATTATTATTACAGTGCAAACTCTTGGATTTGGATTCATTTGAATACCTGGATGAATAATTCTACCAGGAATCAACTGTTCATCGTTGGACCCCTCCGTTAGCCGACCCTACGGAGAAGGCGGAGTACCTCAACCTGCCCCCAAATGAAAAGCTGAAATGTGGATCCGAAAACGTTTGCCCATCACCGCTGTCGTGACTGCTGGTATGCGGTACACGGAACACCCAACACGCCGTGTGGTGGACCTTGCTGGTCAAATCATGGATCTTTATCAACACGTGGACCAGGCCAGACTCCGTCACCGTAAGTCTGCAAAATCCTCCATTGATAAAGTAGTTAAAATTCGTGAGTGGGATCTCGCGACTAAAGCAATTGGCTCTAAAATGGTCAAAGTTAGGCAGCCTATAAAAATGAATGCAGCTCCACACCGAAATCGGATAGTGAGTAATTGGGCAGATTCCTCAGAGGAAGAGGATGAGATAAAGGTAGAAGTTGAGGAGGATAAGGATGAGGTAGTGGACGAGGTTATAGACGACGAGGAGGACGAGGGGGGTGACGAGGACGACGATGGTGAGGAGGATGAGGAGGATGAGTGGGAGGAGGAGGAGGTGGAGGAGGAGTAGGAGGGGGAGGAGGAGGAGGAGGAGGGGAGGAGGAGGGGGAGGAGGAGGGGGAGGGGGAGGAAGTGGAGGAGGAGGGGGAGGAGGAGGGGGAGGTGGAGGAGGGAAACAAGGAAAGTGAAGCGGGTGAGGAAGAGGTAGTCATAAAAAAGGGTCAAGTTTCTTGTAAAACAAAAACAAAATCTGATGCTCAATTGTTAAAAGAGCCAGAGTGCATAACACTGGACTCGTCTGATAATGAGTCGGACGGGGAAAGTGATGAGTCGACTGCCTCCTCACGTCATTTTGATGCTGAGGAATATCGCATATTACAATGTCGGGAAAGATTTAGGCCCCCTATTGATGACTATGGTAGTGATGAAAGTCAGGAGAAAGCTGACAATTTTGTCCGGTATTCGGACGATGAAGATATTCCTAACGGAGCAATCAAACTAAAACGTGGGTGGTTACGCCCACAAATAATTGCTCCTCAGCCTGATGGAGAGGTGGCAGGACCCTCTCGTTCATTAACTAATTTAACTACCCCATGTAATGGAGAGGTCGTAGGACCCTCCAACACCGTGTATAAGTACACCTCATTCTCAACTCGAGATGACGAAATATTAGAAATAGAGATCAATTCGACTATTGACTCACAACCATCCCTAGTTTCACCGGCTACCTGTGTTAAGTGTCCAGAGGACATTGCCGCAATTTTGCATACATTCCCCACCCTAGATGTCGATGATTTAAATGATGGGATGGACCATATTATTACGGCCATCGATGAAAGGCAAATACAATTGGTAACAGATAGAATTGATACCGAAAAATCTAGAAAAGTAAATAATAAAAACAATTTAATATCGTGTGACATTTCAAAATACGAGGTTATACTATCACGCCTAGATTCAACTGAAATTTGTCTGCCTCAAAACAGAGTAGTCGAAGTACCCCTGTTTAAGGCATATTTTCCGTATTCTTGTCTAAATTTGGTAGATAACGACAGTAATTTGTCCGACTTTAATTACGGACCACCTGCATATGTTACAAAAAGCCAACTAATTAACCAACACAATATCATGCACCGTAGTAGGGAGGTGGAAACCCTCGATTATCTACGCATAGGGGTTTATAACCCCCCAAATATATCATCATTCGAGTGTAGGGGCATCATAGTTTATAACACCAAAGACGCACAGTTGATAAAAATACCAGACCATAAACTTCACAACTTCATACAGATTCTCGTGCGACATATGCACGAGATCGCAAGATCAAAAATATTACAGGATTTCGACCGGACCTTACACCCGGTCACTAAGGCTATTTTAAATAAAGTTGCAAATTTGCAACTTTGTGAAGTAATCATCAGCAATTCTGATGGACCGAAAAGGTTGGAAGAGACACTAGAGCGTAGGGGTAGATATATTAGGGAGTTGAAAGAACTGAAAGCAAAAAGAGACGCGATCACTGCATCTCACTACGACAGTCTTAGAATTATTGAATTTAATGAGGGGACTGATCCTGTAATTGCCATGGTCAACGGTCAATTGTTTACAAGAATGGACAGTCAAAATAATTAGGTATTTAACTCAAAAAAAATTTGTATTAATACAATAAATAATAAATAATAACAATAATTCTATATCAATTAGATGATTAATAATAATACCATGCCAATTTCATGATTAATAATAATAATATGTCAATTTGATGATGAAGATTTTGTAAATAAAGTAAAAAAATGTTCATTGTGTATATATGTGTGTGTGTGTGTGTGGCTACTTATTAACCATAACGTTGTAAGAGTAACAAAATTGTCATAACTATTTACATGCATACGCATAATAATTTAAGTAACAAGCTTTTGCATCTTTTTCATGTCCCGTGTGTGGAATTATCTCATGCATACAACGATTCATCCGTTTGTTTTGTTCTGCATGAGTCAATCCAACCTGGTGACGTCGTTCTCTCATATTGAGCTGCATATTAACAAAGTCAAGGCAGTCCAAGTACGTCTGTTTCCATCGCATTGACTCAACCCCTATAAACCTCAACCCCGATAAAAAAAATACGTAAACATTCATACCCATCTATTCATTGCTGGCCTGATTTTATTAATCATAAATAACTCTTACCCCGGAAGCTTGCTGATGGAGTAGGGATGTTTGCAATCACCCGTTCTACTTCAAAATTGAATGTAACTTTAGCCAGGGGTGGGAGCGTTGTGCGTAATGAGCGCGGTGGTGGGGGGAATGAGGAAGTCGACGCAGCCGTTTCCGGGACAACTTCTCTCTCAACCCGTGCCGGGAGTGTTTCAGATACAGTTGTCATCCCAACAAAATGGGGAGCAGTCACAATCGTAAAAGTACTGGGAATGGTAGCAGAATCCGGTAGTGTGGGAAAGTTTTCAGTCTCTGGTACTGGTGATGGTGGTGGTGATAGTGAATTAAAAGTGGGGGGAATCTGGGGTGCTGGTGGTGTGGCTGACGGTGAGAAAATCAACGAACCTATTTTCACACGAAAATAAAGCAAGTATTGATTTACTTAAAATGCTCTCGTTGTGAATCTCACCATCTTCCTGGTCATGTATGAGTGGCGGTGACACGACTCCAGTTGATTGCTGAGAGGTACTGCTATAAATTACAGGAGGACGAAAAGCTGTGGGAAAATCTGCAGAGAATTTTGGTTGGACTGATGGTGGTAGCCGTGGGGGTATGGATAAGAATAGGGGTGGTGCGGATGAGAAGAGCGTTGGTTGTACTGGTGGTCTTTGAGAGACGCTTCCTTGATCTAAATATTTATTTAAAAAATATTCGCTCCAAAACCAAGTCGTTGAAATAGAAATAATGAACCTACCAGCCCAAGTTTCCTTTGTAACACTTTTTCCCAGGTTTTCTGATTTTGTCAGCGTCACACCATTATCTATAACAACAACTACATATCAGTCCTCTTTTTTCAAAACCATAAAATCATAAAGGACTTATATGAGGCCAGACATTGGCTTGTTCGAGTAAATACTCTGCTAACACGCGTGGTGGACGAGTCGGTTATTTCTTTGCACAGGAAACGGTTATTTTTTTCAATAAAGTAGCAGCCATTTTTGATGCGTGAATTCGGTACAGGATAACACTCCTGTGTATATTGCCATAAAAACCCCTATCCATACTACGAGTCTCATTTTTAAAGAAAAAACGCTAATAATACAAGCAAGAGTATGGGACGGGAAAGATGTAATTTAATGGAGATGCAAAGTCAGAATGAGATGAGAAAATGCCTCAAAGTACCTCAGCCCCGATAACGTTATGATTATTTCACCAGTATGATGACTAGTCATCATAAGACTCTTTGACAATTAGTATTAAATTTCACTAAGTTCTGTTTACGTTCACAAGATTTACGTCTCAATGTTGGTAGCCTCCAGCTCCACTCAAATTCTAGTCTTTAAGATACAAGGGATTTTATCGTTGGGATTTTCATACTAGTTAAATATTCAAGAGAATCTCTGTACTAAACAATCCATCCGTATATTAGTAATGATGATGATCGACTTTGTTTTAGCTATTTTTCATATGCCTCTACTCATACAACTAACCCCTCCCAAAGGGGACACCCAACCTGTCCCCCCCACGATGCTATTAATTACTACGTGTCGAACTGCCCGTGGCTCGGGCCATTAATTATTATTATTATTGTTATTATTATTTTTTTGTTGGATGACGTTTTTTTGAGTGAGTAAAAAAATATTCAAGAAATCATGTAAGTTTTTTTTTAAAAATATGTATTTAATCATGACTAAATGAAATATATTACTTCTAGATTATCATCGCTTTTTTAATCATCCGTGATTTACTTCAATGTTTTTTTATCTACGACTTTTTATATTGTACGCCTGGATTTAATGCGCATGTAATTGTATATTACCATCATCATCATCAAAGTATTATTATTTTGTCGTCATATTATTATACACACACACACACACACACACAAAGTCATAATTCTGCACCTTTCTGCACCCTTCTGAAGTCTAATACCCGGGTCCGGGTAGCGAGCGGTAGGGGGCAGATCACTGTTTAAGCTTTCTACTCAGTTGTAAACTCACTACTTGTATGCACAATATCTTATTAAAATTTAATAATAATATGTAGGTTGACATGACGATAATTTCAGTAGGATTGACAAATGTACAATTGGTTGTTAACAAGTTCGTTTGGAATTCCAAATCAAAAATCCCTCGCCAACAACCTGATCGAAGTTACTCAGAAGCTGGACAATCAACACGGAAATTTCTATCAGACTTTCCGATATTACCATCCAATTATTGTCGTGCAAGTTCGTCAAAACTTTATTTACAGCCGCAAATTAATTCAAAATCAGAGTTATACGCTTTGTATCAGGAATACTGCAGCCAGCAAAAACCGTGCTTGACATTTCCAGTTAAATCGGATGCTTGACAAAATGAATTTAAGCATTTTTTCACCTAAAAAAGACCAATGTGGCCTGTGCACCAGCCACCCTTTTGGACAAATAAGTGACGAAGAATACAAACTCCATATCGATAAGAAAAATAATGCACGAGATGAGAAAATTAAAGACAAATGCTCGGCTGCTGGCAACCAATGTCATGTCATTACAATGGATGTTGAATCCGTCAAGTTGTCCCCCATATTAAAAGCTAGCGCATTGTACTACAAAACGAAGCTAGTGGTTCACAATTTCACTTTGTACAATTTGAATACGCGAGAGGCTACCTGCTATTGGTGGGATGAAACAGAAGGAGAATTAGTGGCCTCGACATTTGCGACTTGCGTGGTGGATTTTATCAGCCGAAAATTTCAGGATAACCTCCCAATTATCATTTATAGTGACGGCTGTACAAACCAAAACCGAAATGCGATGATGGCTAATGCTCTACTTCAGGTTTCAGTTAGCAAGAAGATAACAGTATTCCAGAAATTTCTAGAAAAAGGACACACTCAGATGGAATGTGATTCAGTACATAGCGCTATTGAATCGGAATTAAAGAACAAAACTATTCATGTTCCATCCGACTACATTAAAATGTGTCAAAACGCCAGAAACAAGCAACCTTATGAAACAATTTACTTATCGCACAATTTTTTTAAAGATTTTTCGGTACGTAAAAATCAGGCTTATCCATCTATTCGTTCTGGAAGTAAAGCAGGAGACCCGTGTGTAACTGACCTTCGTGCTCTCGAATATGATCCAAGTGGGAAAATATTTTACAAGTTGAAACATGGTGATCATGAATGGAACGAGTTGCCTGCAAAACCGATAAGAAGCTCGGATGCAACGAATTATCCACTATATACCGAGCGACTGCAAATCACTGCAAGAAAATTTAAAGATCTACAGGAGCTTAAATCTGTTATCCCAATAGAGCACCACATGTATTACGATAGCATACCACACAAGTAAATATCTATAAATAAAGTTTGGTGGTATATATTAATTGTAAACGAGACTTATGTTATAGAATTTTTTTTCAATTTTTGCTAAAGGGAAAATAAAGCGTGATAATTAGCACAACCATGTGCCTGTACATTATACTTCATATTTTACATATATGCATGAAACTAATTTATTTCCAGGCAAATTTTGCAGCAATAATGCGTCAACAGGCTTGTTTCACTATTTTTGCTCTCCTGAAAAATCATGATTTTGGACATGTTGCCTTTTGATACTTGCATGGTTTGGAGATGTTGCCTTTTGAGACTTGCGTGGTTTGGAGATGTTGCCTTTTGATACTTGCATGGTTTGTAGATGTTGCCTTTTGCATCTTCAACGACGAATTGTGCTTTTAGAAATGAAGAGAAAATCGTGCAAAAACTTTTGCCCATTTACCCGTTATATTCAAGTTGAGAGAAAAGAAGGATTGGGAAGAGGCGTTGAGAGTTGGTGGTCTGCCTGCACTCATTCTTGAGAGGATATAAGTAAGAATATAGTAGGAAGTTGCTTCATCTTCTTTTTGGAAAGTAGTTCTCTATGCACATAGTGGTAGTAGCACTCGTAGTGCTAGATTGAGGGAAAAGAGCACAGATTTAATGGCAGATTTAATGTCGTACCTGTTGCGACTCATCTTTCCGTATTCACCTGTATAACTATTTGTAATTGTAGTATGTTTCATTAACATCAAATTCTATTATAGTGTGCACTTTATTTTATACGGTGTGGATTCATTTTTAGGGATTTTTTCATCGTTTAAAATTTTTAAAATTAAAATTAAAAATTTAAGATTAAAATTAAAATTTTAATTAAATTTTAAAATTTAATTAATTGATTAAAATATTCCCTGACTATTTTTCACTGATATCTGAAACCTCATCATTGAAGTATTATATATTTTATTGATTCTAAAAAATAGATTACTTGTTAACGTTATGTACCTGGAAAATCGGTTAATTTCCACCAGGTAGTGTAGAAACTTTTTCTTCCGGTAACTATAACCTTATAAGGTCGGTCCCAATATATTCACGCAAAACGTGTGAAGAGTATATTATACAACATTGTTGATCTCATTAACCCCGGCTGAGCGTAACATATTTACGTTTTTTTATTTCGTCTCGATCGAGACATCTCGGTCGAGACGAGTGTTGTCTCGAACTCGTCGAGACGAGACAAACTGGCATCTCGTCTCAAAATATCGAGGAGAGATTTTGTTCGTCTCATTTCGTCTCGAGCGAGATCGAGACGAAACTGTCTCGTCTCGATGAGAGTACTGTGTGAAGCGTTAATTATGAGGCCGTCGCGGTGTAGAAAGTGAAAATAATGACCGCTCGTGTGATGCCAGGGATGACCAATAACTTATCCTCGTTAATCCAAATAAGCAGACTACTGTAGAACGCAGTAGTTTTTCATTATTATCCTAAACTATCTCACTTGATTTCCAACTATTTAACTCAAATATTAACAATTACTCAGAAGGTTTTTGACACACATATACACTCGCCAAAATCTAACAACAACTCCCCTATACTTTTCTTTTCATTCTTTCACGCACAAAAAAAAGATCATCTTCCTGCAAGGCGGTAATTAAATACTAAGGGGAACACGAGACTTAATTCTGATTTCTATATTATCCCCCACCTCTGAACTTTCCCAGCCATTTAACTGTTAAGATTTTTTAGTGTTCACTAGAGGCATTATATGCATTAAATTATGAATTCGAAAACTCGCTCCAAAATCCAGACGCGCAAAAAATGCCATATTTTGGTTTACAAATTTTGAAACCTATTTTACACATGCATCAATTGATTAATAATGCCAATATGTCATTATTATTATGCGTCTGGCCGTTACAGAGGTTTAATTATCACATCATAAATAACTACCCTAGTAGCACACCCCGAGATATATACGAGATGAATTGGTGGTATTTGGTGTCAAATTCGTGGCAGAGTAAAATTGGTGTCTTCGTGGTTAAAAACTCGTATTTAATCCGAGTATGAATTTCCTAAACTACACAAAGCGAATTAAACTCGTGTTAATTATGTGTTTGATCCCCGTGTATTTTAAGGGTCAAATATTTACCTTTACACGAATTCTTCTGGAGTAAATTTCAGTCAGTGTCAGCGGGAAATTCTGAATTTATTTACTGTTATTCTCGCATGACGAGCAAACGTATTTTTAATTTAGATTTAAAATGAAAAGCTCTAGTAGACGACAATTAAACAGGGAAATAAATATTGCATTAACTGATTTTAATGCTGTGTGTTCAAATTCGTCATTTATTGACCACCAAGTTGCAACAACCAACCATCTAATTGCTACACCATCAGTAAATACTTTCTCATCTGATGAAGAATTTTTATCAGAATCGGAAACTTGTGATAGCTGTTCACCTTCAGAAAGTGATAGTGACGCTGAAATAGACGAGGACATTAGAACATCTCTTATACGTTGGAATATAAAACACAATATTACGAACGCGGCGACAAGTGATTTATTAAAATTACTTCAACAGCACAAATGTTTCAGCAAATTGCCTGCAGACAGAAGGTCCTTATTGGAAACACCAAGGACAACGAAAATATTTAGTGTCAAACCTGGTCAATACTGCCCATTTGATTGGCTTCAGTCCGTTCAAGAGATTATTGCTACTGGCAATGAATTAATTAATGACAATATCGTGCCTGTACAAATAAATATAGACGGTATTCCTCTCTACAAAAGTTCATCGCATCAATTTTGGCCAATCCTCGGTGCAATTGGGGACAAAGTGTTCGTATGGTATTTATTCGGGGCAAGGAAAACCAGATTCTGTCAACAGTTTTTTATCTTTTTTAATTGAAACAGTGCTCGATAATATTAATGGAATAGTGGTAAACGGAGTTACTTATTTACTTAAAATTAGTGCATTAATTTGTGACGCTCCTGCTCGTGCCTTCGTCCTTGGCGTAAAATGTCACAGTGGATACAATTCTTGCGGAAGATGTACATATGGACATTATTCTTTAAGAACAAATAAATCCTTCAGAGAAAAAGAAGATCCAGCACATCATAACGAGACTACATTAATTGAGAAACTAACTTTGGACTTAGTTAGAGATGTTCCTGGGGAATACATGCACTTAGTATGTCTGGGAATTGTACGTAAAATTCTATATCTTTTTACTAAAGGAAAAAAGTGTCCTGCACGTCTACGCCCCCATCAAATTGAGAGAATTTCTAGCGAACTTATAAGCATTAAGAAATATATTCCGACCGAATTTGCACGAAAGCCTAGGATTCTGAAAGATTTGGACCACTGGAAAGCTACAGAATTCCGTCAATCTTATATACTGGTGCAGTTGTGTTAAAAAACAACATTTCAAAAGAGTTATATCAACATTTTTTGTGCCTACATGTAGCAGTGACAATTCTATCTAACAAAGCCCTTAACGAGACCGTAAACTATTATGCTGACCAGCTACTTAATTATTTTGTGAAACACTTTGGTCGTCTTTACGGGGATGAAAATTTGTCATTTAATGTGCATGGTTTGTTACATTTAGCGAACGACTGTAAAATTCACGGGTCCGTTGATTCGTTTAGTGCATTTAAATTCGAGAATAAGCTACAAGTAATAAAAAGGTTGGTGAGATCCTCAAATTGCCCCCTCCAACAAGTGCATCGAAGAATCTCAGAGAGGGTAGACCAAGAGGAGAAAACACCATGCCGTGCAGTCCAGCAACTTCTCTCCAAAGCGTGGAATTTTTCCTCGTCGTCTTCCGATAACTCTCAGTATTTCAGGCAATTTAATCATAAAAAATTTAAAATTGTAGTTGGGTACGGTGACTCAGCGTGTGAACTAGACGATAAAAGTATTGTTATTGTTAAAACATTTTTTCGAGAAGGAGCACAAGTATTATTCCTTGCACAAAAGTTTCAAACTATTGATAATGCTTATAAAGTTCCGTGTCCTTCGTCTGAATTAAATATTTAACGAGTTTCCAACCTTGGCCCAATAAGGTTGTTCGATATTGTCAAAATACTTAGGAAAATCTTTCTCCTGCCTTCTGGAACAGAATATATTGCAACTCCGTTAAATCTCAAAATAAATATGTCGGTTAACAATTTCTTTGTGTTAGTTAAATTTGTGGAAACAAATGAAGTAGAAGTAGTGTCGGCATCTTGGCTACGCCACAATAAAACAAAATCTGTGTGGCCAAATTATAAAAATTCCAATCGTCAAGTCAAAGCTGTAAGCATGCACGAGACTCCTGCGCGGTGCTGGTCACTTCACGAAATAAAATTACTTGGTAATGGTCGACAATTTGGTAAGCAAAAAATGAATAATAAAAAATGAATAATAAAAAATGAATAATACTGTATAATTTTGCGTAACAATTTTCTACGATAAAATTAAATATACTGCTTTATTATTTTTAGAATCGTATCATGAGGCACTGTCAAAATTGCCTAAGGTTTTGGATAATTCCGACGCAGAAGTTAATAGCGATGCGGATAGGAGAGGAAGAAAACGCAAAAATCAGGATTCCAGCGACTCGTCTGATGACGATGTAAACAACTCGGACTCATTTGGCATGCCCCCACCTTCACTTATCACAAATAGCACAAAGGGTTAAAAATAATAAAATATCTAGAAATTGTTTTAAATATGCTATACATTTAAAGTAAATTAAGCATTTTAATTTTTTAGGTTCTGCTGGGTTTCGGAAAAAGATAAAAAGGGAGTAAAAAAAATCACTCAACGGTACCGTTTAGTCTTGGTCTTGGTAATAAATAAATTAAATATTGTATATATGTGAAAATTTGTTTATATTTATCTATCTTATTTTAGTTTATTTTAAATTATTGTAGTTGGAGAAACAAGGATTGTAGTAACCTGGATCTGCAAGTGTGATTGAGTTTAGGTGTGACCAGAGGGATGTGTCACATTGTTGTAGTGGTAAGTCTTCGGTGATTCTTGGGAACACCAATGCCTTTACCGAGTACGAGTTGTTTGAAGAGAATCTGGGCTGGAAGACGAACGACGTGGCGAATTGCGCTGTTGCCACAGGTGCGGCGGACAGGCCAACAACTTCGGCGACATTTCGTGTCTTTTTGAGCCCCAGGAGCTGAGTGCATCGAGTAGTGATGATGCACGTCGTGGACCCTCCATCAAGAAGAGCTCGGCAGTGTTGCGTTTGTCCATGGGCATCGGTCTAGGTCTCAATAGCAGTAGCGAGCATGCCATGTAAGGAACGAGAGGTTTGGTTATCTTGCGAGTGATGAGATAAGGCCAGAGGATGATGTGATGACGAAGAGTTTGTGTTTATAGGCGAATCATTTGACTTGTGCAGTAAAGTGTGATACTTGCCATTACATTTTCTGCAGCGTCCAACATTGTTGCAGGATTTGGTGAGATGACCATCATGGAGACAGTTGTAACAAAGGCTTTGCTTACGTACTTCCTGTTCCCTTTCTGCCACAGGGATGGAGTGAAACTTGGAGCACTTCCGGGGTGAGGACTAACTGCACAAAATGTGCACTTTGGTTCCGTTTGTGCGTGATGTACGTGAGCTCGCTTGGGACTTATTCTGACCTCGGACGAAGTCGAACACTGGCACCAGCGGCGAGAACACGGGCGCGTTGCTCCATAAACTCGAATAGTTCATCCAACGATGGGATGGATGTTCCTTTCAGGGTTTGCTCCAAGAGTTCACGGGATGTCTGGTCCAACTTGGTGATGATGATGAATAGCATCATGGCGTCGCTGAGAATGGAAACGACGAAGGATGGCGAACAAGGTCTCTCGATCGTTTTGGTAGCGTTCGTGCAACTGCTGCCATGCAATGTCGTAGTTTGCATCGCTCAGTACCATGGACTGGATGAGTTTTGCAGCTTCGCCCTTCAATAATGACTTGAGATAAGTGAGTTTCTGACCTTTACTGATGGTGGTATTGTTGTGGACAGAAGCGGTGAAGATGTCGCGGAAAGAGGTCCACTCGAGGAGACTGCCGTCGAATGTCTTGAGGTCGAGGTTTGGGAGACGAATTTGCTGTATGGCTGTAGGCGATGGATGTATGATTGGAAGATTTGCTTGAATACCGTGAAGGGCGTTGTGAATGGAACCTGCAGTGGTAAGGAGGAGGAAGAAATCGTCTTTATGTGAGGTCACGTCTGTAGGACCGACGGCACGAATTTTGGCATGGATGTCGTGAAGTTTCACGCGAGATGATGCGATTTCTTGAAGGAGGACTGGCATGGACGTAGGATCAATTGGTGTCAAAACATGCTCCTTTACCTTCTGATCGATGTATTCCAATGCGTCGGCGACGGCATCACGAGACAAGTTTATCCAACGCGGAGGGAGCCATGGTCAAGTTTTAAAAGTGGGCGTCACTGGGGAAAAACTACACTTTATTTCTCATGTGCAACACGAGGAGAAAGTGTGATATCTTTACTGATTCCGGTCGGCGAGACCAATGTGGAGGCCGTGTATGGTTTAGGTTGCCTTCCCTGGGTAGGTGGAATAATATGACGCTATGAGGTGGATGGGTGTGGTGTGGAAACTAAGTGAGGCAGTTTGAGACTCAGGAATACTTGTTGTATTGTCACTTTTACAAATTTTAGGGTTTGACATTAAATATACATTGAAGGTGACTCAAGTAAGTGACCAGCAGCAGACAACGAATAGACGATTTACATTATGTGACGATTGCTTAAATAGGCTTGAGGATGGTTACATGATAAAATTAGAATACTGAGAAAGACGGTTCTGGAGGTTTCATAACTGCGAGTCAAGTTTAGAAATGGTAGAATATTAAATTAAATCTAGATAAAAGTTCAGGTTGAGAAACTTTAAAAAAGATTAAAATGGGCACAATTAAGTAAATAAGGTTACATATACTCGTGATAAAGATAAACACTAATTTTACATATCATGATGCTTAGAGTTACCGAACACTCACGATAAACTAGCCATAGTAGGAAATTATTAGGATTCGCTTGCCAGTCGTTTTCGAAATTTTGAACTTTGACCTCAAAACCAACAAAAAAAACTTGAACGCCGTAAACTAAATTTAAAATTATGCAGGGATATTTGTAATGTAAAAGGATATACACTATTTTCACTAAATTTGCTTAACGGCGTTGAAGGTAAAAAAAATATTTTGTTGGTTTTGAGGTCAAAGGTCAAAATTTCGAAAACGAGTGGCCAGCGAATCCTAATAATTTCCTGGTAAGGTTAACTTATAATGAGCTTCAAGCTCATTGAGTTTTCGGAATGATTTGCGAGTCTCCATACCCCGACCCCTCCTCCTTAATCTTATGAAATTTTATTATAAATCACAAAATCATGCATCTAAACACATAAATTTAAACATTTTGTTAAAATGGCAACCAATTAAACCACAAATCACCTAATGTGGATTCTTGCGTTTACTTCCCGTGCATAAGTAACTAGTGTCCAGCTTGACAACCTCTCACCCCTTATAAGCTTGAATCTACCAACATCACTTTATTACTTGCTTTAAGAACTTTTGCTTGAGAGTTAATTAATTTAATTAGTATCATGTTCCTCACACATGAATGGCATAACCACATATTATACACTGTAATATTTCTGGCGATATATTTAGCACTTTTGCAAACGTGCAAGGTCAGAGTTCAAATTTGCTTCGCCTCTACCTACTTGTAATTTAACCAAACCTGAATAAAGTACAGAACTTGAACTTCAGACTCGTGCAAAATTAGACCACCATCGTATGATCAGTTACACGCAATGGTGGCGTAACGTGTGGGGCATTGCCTCCGAGGTATGGGCGAGGATGGGTTAGTTAGACTTACCCATTCTGAGATGGGTAAGGAAAAATTACTAAGTTTACAATGTCTTACTCTTATCTTGCCTTACGCTAACTTGACGTGGGGCAAGATAAAACTTAATATGGGAGTGGATGATAAGTCGTCTTCCACCTCTGTATAAAGCCAAGAAGTTTGATGTACCTCGAAAATGCTGTTTCGAACTATAGTAAATTTCGTAAGTAGGCCAGAATTAAAAGGTACGTTTGGATTAATGATGGGTCGTGGTTCGGATTTTGAAAACCAGCTTGCTCAACCCAAATTAATCTAACAATGCGTTTCCATCTCTGATCAATTTAAAAAATTATCAACCCAACCGCGTAACCTGGCTTCATTTCTCAAGCTAAAACCCTTAGATCTTCAAAATTTACAATAATTTCAAAATTTTGAATAATTTATTTCAAATCCTACATTTTTGAGTCAAATACGTTTTACGTCTTTTGATCATTTTACCTGTTAGATTATTCAAATTAAAATGATTAATAAATGAAATAATATGGTTTTCTTTCAACTTGTAATTCATGCCGTAAGCACCTGAATAAAATGTGAAAGGCGTATTACTAAACTCTATGCCAAATTTAACACTAGCCTTTGAATTTGTCTCAACTCACATCTTGACCCAACCCGTAACTCGTTTCCAAGCCTATTTTGTTTTAAAACTTTGAAACCCAATCAGCCCGACACGAATATTTCGTTAAAATTAGAAATCCCACCAATTGGGTGCGAGCGGGTCGGGTTTAACCGGGTGGACACTAAACCCGGCTCATCACTAAAGTCCATACCTTCTGGTCCACACATTGGAGGGAAGTATCGTTATATCGGTATTAAAATGCGAACAAGAGAGGTGATTGCACAAAATATTCATAATTAAATACGTACTTCTTGATCATAACCCTTACCTAACGAGGGTACACCGTCGTCGTTATGATGTTTCTGATGCAATCAAAGTTCACAGTTAATCAACTTACTTAGGATTAGCTACACTGGTTGTCCATTGACCACACTGGCTGTCCAAATAATTTACCCTACCCTCAAATGCATCAATCATAAGAATTAAGATTATAAATTCCTTGCATACATGTTTCACTTGACAGTAGATGTGCCAACCTGCTACATACAGTAATGCATATTTTCACCATACATTGCCTCTTGCGCAATCAGCCTTGATAAATTAGCCAGAGATCAACACTCGTCTATCCGCAGGTACACACTTGACACATAAGAGAATAACAGATCCGTTCAATATCTCTGCCCACTCATCCTTCTCTCCTTACTAAATTAAAATAAAGCTATACAATCATCATACGACTTCAGAGAGGTCACAGGTCACCCAGATAAATACGTTGGACGACATGTTAATGCATCCAGTTAATATTTGGGCTATATGGAAAGTCTTATAGTCAAACTCTACTCACCTCTCACCATGTAAGACATTAATATATTTTTTAATTAAGCGTTTCACCGATTTTTAGAAATTTAAATATAAGTAATCTTTCCAAAAAATATTACCAAGTCTTTTAACACCTCGCATTGAAAAATACTCCAAAAAATTAAAAAATAAACAAACTTGCCATAATTTTCCAATATGGTCACTAATTTTTATAACAACTTATTTATTTTAAACCGCATTATCAACTAATAAGTATTTAATTTCACATTTAAATTGTGTGTTCAATATTTATAACCAGGCAGTGGTTCTACTTTTCCTTGATAGCTAGTGGATTTACACTTTGCTGGATTGGTGCACCACCCGTCACCTCTCAGATTTTGAATTTGGAGCCAAATCCCACCGTTAGTCTATCAAATTTTTTGCCTTGGACAAGTTTTAAAATATTTTGAAAAATGAAAAAAATTTCAGTGTAATTCAACCACTTGTGAATCATCATCCCTCCGATGCGAACCCGAGCAACCCGTCCCATCCTGCAATTCCAGTGCTGGTTGCTATTGTCTCAATTATCAGGTATCTACACCGAAATTTCTAATTTACTTCCAAACTTTAGTTTACTCCTAAGTTTCAAAAACCAACAAAAATTTCGCCAGTTGTTTGAAAGGTTTTGGTTTTTGTTTAAATGAGTTTTATATAAATTAATGTTTTCTAAATCATCCAATTTTTTAAAATTCTTCAGGCTTTAGTCATATTTCGGAAAATATTTATGCAAAAATATTTTCAGATTTTTGTTTCGATATTTGGCCGATATCTGCCACGATGACCGTTTATAAAAGGATGCAAATTTATAAATATGTTTTGTTCCACCACGACAATCGTTTAAACTTTTTATTTCACAACCAACGGTAACTCTTAGATCGAAAATGGAATTAGAAGGGTAATTTTAATGGGTTTGAGAAATTAAACACGTTTGGTATCATGAAAGGATATCAAACGTAAGAAAAAATTTAATGTAACTAAAAGGTTGCCTAATGGTAAGCATTGTATTCAAATTATGCGGGTAACACGACGAAATGAGACATGAGGTACCATGAGCCAAGTATAATTATTATCAGTAACTCTCTTCCCGCTTTTTTAACTTTTTTTCAATTTAATCAAACGAACAGTGCGATAATCGGCGAAACACGTGTACCTCAAAAGTATGCGCGAATTCTGAGCGGGCCGAATGTGTCCTCAACAAGTATGGAACCAGTTGCATGTGTATTCCGCTGGCTACTTCACCATACGTAATTCCCAACAAATATACTTATAATTAATAATTATCTATAAATCGATTTATTTTAGTTAATTATCTAATAACCACTTATGTATTTTAGTGCAACACTGGAAACACAGCATGCAACCTGAGAGGAGTTGGTCAAGCAGATATCCGATACTTTGGCGAAATCTGCCAGGAACTTGGTCAGGAATATTATGCGGAAACATGTCGAGTAAATGGCCAATGCCGATGTGCCAGTACATCTACTTACGTAAGTAAATAAAATATTCATTTTTTGAAATTAAACTATTTCCAAAAAATCTTCACAGTGCAACCTTCTCGGCTGCGGGTCGTCTCCACTCCGCTGTGGCCCTAATCAAACTGTCCCATCATGCGATCTAGCCACTGGTAAATGTATCTGCCCCAAGTTTCAGGTACATAGGTACATAATTTTTTATATCCAACGTTAAGAAATTAAATCAATCCCAAGTTTCCTGCATTCTTTCCAGTGTGACAATCTCCTCAAGAACTGCAGCTCAACGAATTGTGGCCCACAAGGAAAACCGGAATGTGTCCTTGATAGGTATGGGACCAGTTGCAAGTGCATGCCTCTATTGGAGCTCAACGACTTCCTCGGTGATATACAACCTATTCAATGGTACTCACCCAAAGTTTCGATATTCCCCTATCCAATCAGGATTAATTATAACCAATTTTCTCCCCCTTTCAATTTAAGCTGCATTGTCCCCGGCTTAAATCAAGTTGATATCGAGCACTTCGACAATATATGCGAACAGCTGGGCGGGAGTTACTTTGCTGATGGGTGTGGGACCGGGCAGTGCCGGTGCTTAAAGAGACGTGGCGGGGTGAGCTGATTACCAGGAGAATATTTTCAGGCGGGATTATAATTTATATTTTATGTATTCAAGTGTCGGACTTCTTCTGACTGCCCTTGTCCCCAAGGTTTCGAGGATTATTGCATTCCTGATCTTCAGAGATGTGAGAGAAATTGTCAGGTGAATTATATCCCGATACATTCATATCTATCTACATATGTACCGTACTAAATTTATGCATTTTATTTCACTCAATAATTTCAATAGTGCAGAAGCGATGAAGCATGTTCCCAGGGTTGTCGAGCGGGTCTAGTTAGTGCTTGTAATGGCGAAACCTGCACGCCCTGCTTTATAAATGTGAGAATAAATTTGACTACTTAAAAAACCTAGGCCAGTGCTAAATATTTTCACACATTTTACTTTAATTTTAGTGCACATCGGTTTCCGATTGCGCAAATATGACCTGTCCAACTGATAAACCAGACAAGACATGTACACCATATTCAAGTATCTTTATTGGCATCAATCCCACCAGAGTTGGCTGTTCCTGCAATGCTGCGCGGGAAGTATGGGACTAGAAATATATTCCTCATATTAAGCTAAGTTTATTTATTTTATTCAGGTCTTTACATTTGCAGTGTAACACGCGATGGGATTGCCCGGATTGCAATGGAGATGCGCAAAAAGCCTGCAGAACTGGTGGGACCTGTACCTGCCTATCGAAACATGGGGTTTGTGCGAAAATATATAGTTTTAAGAGCGGGATTTTTAAATTATAAGTATACAAATTATGAAGATTCTACGAATGGTATTTTCACTAAGTAAGCACGCCCTTAATAATTTCAGTGTTTTCGGAACGGGGACTGTGACAAAGATAATGGATATGGTTGCAGCCAGCTTGGATTAAATCCGTCGTGCTGCTGGGTAGGATGTGGTGGAAGAGATTCATTCTGCCGCTGCCGAGGGGGGTCGGGCTTAACATGCAGCGGGGGGGATAGTGGGACGGAGCAACTTGATCACTGTGGAGGACAAGGTTAAAAACACCACGGGAAAAATTTAATTTAATGAAATCTGCAATTTTCCTTTCTGAAGCTGAGTTTTAACAAATAAATCAAACTCTTGATTGATTTTATTCACCATCTATACATTTCATTTTGCTTTGTCGGTTAATTCGCATTTGCAGCCTTAGTCTTGTTGCTAAACAAAAAATCGACATGTGCCTTGCATCTGGGTAAGATGGCGTCATACATTTATCGACACACTCGAAGGTTCAGAATGGAAAGTGCATAAACCATGTCACACAAAAATCCAGATTGCTGAAATACCCCTTCCCCGGGCGTTTTGTGTCACATGCCTTTTTAAAATATGGCACAAGTCGGCCTTTTAAGCTCCCACCCGTCTCACCATACTCTATGGCCGTTCCCCATAAATAAATTTGAAATTAGGGAAATAATTCCGACCATAATATTATAGAATATTAGAATACAATAAATAGGTTAGTTTATTATGTAACAAATCTATATTTCAATACATTAACCAGAACTGGATGCGTCACTGCTTTTATAGGATTCTCAGAGCGTATCAATGAAACCCTGAATCAGGTTTGAGACGTCTTTAATAGCATTCAAGTTATATGTTCAAGAGGAGGTTGCCGTTTACCTTTGCGGCCGTAAAGCAAATTTAGTGAAAATGATATATACATTATAACACTTAAAATATTCTTACCTAGTGTTAAATTTTGTTTACGGCGTTCAAGTTATAAAAATTTTTTGTTGGTTTTGAGGTCAAAGGTCAAAATTTCGAAAACTAATTGCCAGCGAATCCTAATAACTTACTGGTAGAGCTAATTTATCATGTGCTTCAAGTTTATTGCGATTTCGGACTATTTGCGAGTCTCTATACCCCGACCCCTCCTCCTAAGTATGGAATGTCACGAACGTGACAGCGAATTTTTTATTTATTTCAAAAACGATTTTCATACCATTTATGACGTAGAAACCTAAATTCCAATGGGTCAACGTTACCTACTTAATTCAGGAGTTAGTCTATGGTATTTCAAAGTACACTACATAAATCCTAGGTTATGACAAGAAGGACTATGAACTGTATGACTCCGGCATGTGTCACGTATCCATGATAAGAACTAGTTCAACTAGGGATATGCATCGGTTTGGACAAAGTGAATCAGATGCTACCAGTTTGTTAATTAGCGTCATAATTGAAAAATCATAATCATAAAATTAACATTTGCCATGGTAACAAAATTGGACTAACATGTCGTCATACATACTATTTCTAAGATGTCCTATGTACGCTCGAGTTGTATTTAGCTAAATACTGCGATCATGACTGCATGCATAGATACATTGTGCAAATAATAGATTTTAGAATTAGTTCATCGATACGTTTGACATATACATTTATACACCTCAAATGGATGTACTCTTTAGAGTCGATTTATTACAGACTGATTCATGGATTCTAGCTATTAGTTAGATTAGCCTTATCTAACTGGTTGAGTTAGTTGTTAACCTAACCTCAAATACAATGTACTTCAGAAGTTCAATATAATGAAACACAAAGATGTTCTGTAAGAAAAATTGTATTGCCGACATGAATTCAGATATTCTTCATAAACAACAAACATGAAACATGATTACCTAGTATGTAACATATTTAGTTGGATTTATTAAATTTCGAATGCCGAAGTATTTATGTGCTAAAGGAAAATAAGTACCAGTGTTTAGAACCATTACACAAAATACATCCGTACGTATGTTCACATATTTATTTGCAAATATAATAAAGTTTCGACAATTTTTCATAATATATTCCATTGTTATTTACATTTACTCAATATAAACGAGCCATGAATCCTTCTGGCTTTCATTCAGTTGTTAAATGCCAAAATAAACTTTAACAACCGCTAACTTTGGTCTGTATCATTAAAATATTACGATTCCTATTGTCACCGCGTTTTACTTTCAACTGGGAATATTAACATTTTCTCCACGTCAAGGAAACTACACCCATCCAGTGTCTAATACAGGACACAATAATGTGGACCTTCTTGGTATTATACATTTCACTCACCGAAAGGGTTACGTCCTTCACAAATCTGCACACTTTTGAAAACTGTGTGTACCACTTTGTAAACCCGATTGATTCCAATGCTTTAATCAATAATCAGCAGATCATTACAAATTATAAAATAAGAAGTCTTTTAGGCTGGAAGCCATTTGTTTGTCAACGAAAACGTAATTGTAGAGTTAAAATGTTCTCTACTAACTTAAAAACTGTTTCACTAGAGGATGATCTAACATTGCTTTCCGAACACTTACAATCTCCTGATTCAATATTGGAAAACCCCAACTATATCATATTCTATGTCAGCAAGGGTCTCAATAAACACTCCTTACCACCGGAATTTAACGCTTTTTTAAAGAAATTGCCCATACTAACAATTACCTCAAAATTCCTGGTCGTCCATAACACCAGTATATTCCTTGTGAACCTCAAGGATTCTTCACTATTTCATATTACAAACCATCAATCAATAACTTCAACTTGGAATCAGATTCACAGCAATTTCAACCATGGCCCTGTTTCTGTACCAAAGTTACGCACATCTTACGAATATTTCGGGATAATTTATGGCAAAGCTGTCGTATGTGAGCTCGGGTTTAAATATTCTTCCAGCGGTCAGTATTGCTTTATCCACAGCATTTCCATAATTCTCAATTTTACCGCGTATGATTATGTTTTCCAAAAAAGTCAAGTTCCAAGTGGCCCACCGATTGCAGAGATTAAGAAGGACGGTCACCAAATTCTTTTAACCCAGCTAAACAATCCCAAGGACAGGCTACAAGTCGTGCCCCATTTTTATAACGTTTTACCATTTGGATTCGTTTTAGTAATTGATAGAAGTGAATTCGAAATTGCAAATCCTATCTCATCCTTCGATATTTTTACTTGGATACTTCTTTTCACATCGATAGTTGTTGTTAGTATATTTCTATGGGTGGAGAACGAAATTGTGAAAAAACGACTTGACCCTACAAACATTCCATTTCTTGCAGTATCATGCACCTTATTGGAACAAAGTTTGTCACCCAGTTTGTGGAAAACTGTGAAGCAAGATTGTACATCAAGCTTCAAAGCTTCAAGATTTATCCTCCTCATCTGGTTCTTAATAAGTATCGTGCTCATAGGAGGTTACCGAAGTGTGTTTTATCGTTTCCTAACAAGTTCCATCCCTCCCATCGGGCTTCCCTCAAATTTGGAACAACTAATCGACTCCAAGTACACAATGGTGGGTACAGACTCATTCCTACTGTCCATGAACGGTCCATCCGTAAATATATTGGAATACATCATCGGGAGTTATTTGTCTTTCGCCGAAGAAAATAATGAAGACGATGAGGGTGACGTGAAGCATCATAACGTTAGAGAAGTTCAGCGTACCGCAAGATTTTCTAAAGGCTTACAAAATATTATATTCCTTAATAAAATCCACTATTCCAAACTCCTAGTTCTACACAATTACAGTCTCCTAGTTCCTAACTGTTGTTCTAAAAAAGCTGGGGTCGTTCTACCTAAAAGTTTTGCAATGGTGAGCTCTACAGATGGGACGAGTTTATTCCTTAACCTCATGAAGATGGAAGAAGATAAATATTTTTTAATCAGGAGTAAGGAATTTGATTATTTTCTTTCAACAACAGAACTCTTCGCAGTGACATCAAATTTCTTTGCGGAACCGTTTCTCCGAGTTCAATCCTTGTTAATTCAGTCAGGTCTTTTTCAAATTTGGACCACATACGGGAAAGAAATGATGCTTAGTTTGAGCAAGCATTTTACATCGTGTTTGCAAAACATTTATTTAAATGACAAAACACGCTCTACGTTTTGGGAGTATACAGCTTATTTACGAGTTGCGCAAGGTGTTGACAAAATTCCCAAAGGTTTACAGGACTACCTACAAGGTCGTGTTGTACCAAAAATATTTAAAATTTTCCGGGCTTTGTCTCTCAAAGTTGTCTCCATGATATTCTTTTCATGGGCTATTGGATTGATTTTAGCAGCGAGTGTGTTCTGTGTCGGAAGGTAAAATATATATGTCAACAGAAAAAAGGTTATGAATAATTAATTATTATGTAATTAATTGTTAATTCTTGGTTTAAATAAATAAATGAAACATTAACGTAAATTTTATTTGAGATACGTAAATACAATTATTTGTTTAAAATACATTTAACAAACTCTGTTCATTTTAAAATCTTGTATTTAATAATTACAATTGTGATCTTACCATCTATGTAAAGTGGTAATAGGTATGTCTAATGAATTGTAATTTGACAGCTGCTTAGTTTTATTTATTTGTATAAACGACATTTTTACAAGCAAGGATTTCAGTTAAGGCTGGATACATTAACTATTTTGAAATCCTGATTAAACCTTACACTTTTGCATTTCAATCTTAATTTGGACAGCACACTTTGTTCACGCCTCTACACTGGAACGAGAGGATTGGAATTTTTGGCAGGCAGGCATTAAGTGACGCGACACAGGTCCCTATCCTTGGTCCAGTAATTCCGTAGCATATTTGTAATACACCAGCTTTCTCTGCGTTTCCTTGAACTACGTGTGGTAAAATAATACTTTGTGAAGGAACTGTTGGATGTTCTTAAAGTTTAGATGTTAATTTTTCTAGGCAAAATCTCAGCAATATCTTAGATTTAAATTTAAAATTATTTTTCCCATTTTTTAAAAAGAAATTTATCCTTACCCGGATTACAGTTTGCCCCCATAATGACAGCGACGCAAAGTACGACAAGAACAATAATTGCCTTCATGCTTGATTGAATTTCAGTTTAACGGAAATTTATTGATTTTTACTGATGGATACCACCCGACTAATTTTGGCAACTGTTGGACCACTTTATATAACAACATTTTGCTTAGGTATGTATGTTTGTCAAAGGATTAATAAAACTATAATTGCGCACAATATTTTCCATTGTGTTAGGTTATTCGCTTGTCAAATGGTCGTTATAAATTCTCGGAAGGTCATATCTTAAGTTGATATCATATCGCATACCAACTAAATAAATATGGGGAATTCTGCTTTATTAATCAGTTCCAAA